ACATTTGGGGTCTTTCCATACTTTGGCTGTTGTCGATAGGGCTGCTATAAACATCGGGGTGCATGTGTCCCTTTGTAACAGCACACCTGTTTCCTGTGGATAAATACCTAGTAGTGCAATTGCTGGGTCGTAGGATAGTTATATTTTTAGTTTTTTGAGGAACCTCCATACTGTTTTCCAGAGTGGCTGCACCAGCTTGCATTGCCACCAACAATGAGAAAGAGATCGTCTTTCTCCGCATCTTCACCAACATCTGTTGTTGCCTGTGTTGTTAATGTTAGCCATTCTGACAGGTATGAGGTGGTATCTTTTGTGGTTTTGATTTGTATTTTCCCGATGATGAGTGATGTTGAACATTTTTTCATGTGTCAGTTGGCCATCTGGTGTCTTCCTTGGAGAAGTGTCTATTCATGTCTTTTGCCCATTTCCTCCCTGGATTATTTGTTTTTTGGGTGTTGAGTTTGATAAGTTCTTTATAGATTTTGGACACTAACCCTTTATCTGATAATATCATTTGCAGATATCTTCTCCCATTCCGTAAGTTGCCTTTTAGTTTTGCTGATTGTTTCCTTCGCTGTGCAGAAGCTTTTTATTTTGATGAGGTCCCAGTAGTTCATTTTTCCTTTTGTTTCCCTTGCCTTTGGAGACATGTTAAGTAAGAAGCTGCTGTGGGTAAGATCAAAGAGGTTCTTGCCTGCTTTCTCCTCGAGGATTTTGGTGGCTTCCTGTCTTACATTGAGGTCTTTCATCCATTTTGAGTTTATTTTTGTGTATGGTGTAAGAAAATGGTCCAGGTTTATTCTTCTGCATGTCGCTGTCCAGTTTTCCCAGCATCACTTGCCGAAAAGACTGTCTTTATTCCATTGGATATTCTTTCCTGCTTTGTCAAAGATTAGTTGGTCAAATATACCTCACTCTTTAAATGACTAAGAATTACAGAATAATTGGGCTGAATTAAATTTTTAATGCTTATTTAAAAAAAAAATTTAATGTTGCAGCGCTTGGGTGGCTCAGTTGGTTGAGTGTCTGACTTCGGTTCAGGTCATGATCTCATGGTTCGTGGTTTTGAGCCCCACGTCGGGCTCTGTGCTGACAGCTCAGAGCCTGGAACCTGCTTCGGATTCTGTGTCTCCCTGTCTCTCTGCCCCTTCCCCTGATCACACTCTGTCTGTCTGTCTGTCTCTCTCCAAAAATAAACATTTAAAAAATTAAAAAAAAATGTTTTTAATGTTTATATACTTTTGAGAGACAGAGAGACAGAGCACAAGAAGGGGAGGGGCAGAGGGGAGACACAGAATCTGAAGCAGGCTCCAAGTTCTGAGCTGTTAACATAGACCCCAAAGTGGAGCTCAAACTCACGAACCTCAAGATCATGACCTGAGCCAAAGTTGGACACTTAACCGACTAAGCCACTCAGGCAATAATTGGGCTGAATTAATGAGGTTTTACTGTATAGTTGAATAATTGGAGTTGGAGTAGCTATTTCCTTTTGTTCAGTATTCTTTCTCTGCTTATGTTATTAATTTGCTCAGGAAATCCATTTAATCCAATAAAATCTTACTTATAGGGCAGGACATCATTTATTTTCCTAGACTGTTTGAACTCTTAATTTGGAGCTATATGTTACTATATGCTGAGAAGCTTTGCTCATATTTTAGGAAGACTAAACTATTTGAGAGTACCTTCCAACTACCCTTATATACATGAAAGTATTCATTTACTTAAAAACAATATGTTATGGGGTGCCTGGCTGGCTCAGTCAGTAGAGCGTGTGACTGACCCTTGATCTCAGGGTTATGAGTTTGAGCCCCATGTTGGGCGTAGAGATTACTTCAAAATAAAATCTTTAAAAAAATATGTTATAGATGATTACTAAAAGACCACCTGAGAATCTAGGTCTTACTTCGTTTGAATTCGTTTTTTCATTGTAAAATTTAAAATTTAGAGATTTGGACAAAACACCACAGTTATTATATTCTGTATTCTTAGCTAGCTGTTCCCCAACCTGTTTCTTCTTCAGTAAAATCTAAAGAGACAAAGGAGTGAAAGTCTTAGGATCATTAACAAAACCTTTAGCATTTTTTAAAGTATTTTTTTTCTTTTTCTTTTTAAATTTTTTTATGTTTAGTTTTGAGTGAGAGAGAGAGACAGACAGAGAGACAGAGCGTGAAGGAGGAGGAGCAGAGAGATAGGGAGACACAGAATCCTAAGAAGGTACCAGGCTCCATGCTGTCCACGCAGAGCCCAATCCGGGGCTCTAACACATGAACTGTGAGATCATGACCTGAGCCGAAGTCAGACGCTTAACTGACTGAGCCACCCAGGCACCCCTTAAGTATTTTTTTATTTTCAGAGAGCGAATCTCAAACAGGCTCTGCGCCATCAGCACAGACCCTGAAGCTGGGCCTGATCCCACAAACTGTGAGATCATGACCTGATCTGAAATCAAGAATCGGATGCTTAACCAACTGAACCACCAAGGTGCTGCCCCTGCCACTTGTTTTTGAGGTGATGGTGGTGGAGGAAAGCAAAAAGAGAAGCAAGCTTTCAGGAAGATCATTTTGCGGTTTAAAGAAAAAAAATCTGTTGATGGCTCAACAGTGTTAGTGAGAGGCAGGTGTTCCTTCACAATTATGTTTATTTGTCCTTAGTTTTAATGAATATCACGAATATTTTGTTGGCTAAGATTCAGGAAATGAATATTTCACTGAGTATGTTTGTGAATAAGTCAGTTAAAATATTTGCATGTTTGTTGTCCCACTTCTAAAATCAGTATAGAGGTTGTCATTTTCTTGTTTGCGGCAAACACATGGTAGGCAGTTGTTATGGTAGGCAGTTGTTATTATTTGGAAATTTCAAGGCTAAACCCTGAAATCATATTTGTAGAAATCTAGGATTATAGTATGTATTTCCCAAATAAATACACTTGTTAGTGCCTTGGTTTCATATTTTGACAGAAATGCCACAATTAAGACTTCTGTTAATTCTTATTTTGACAATTTTATAGTAGGATTACTACATCAACCAAAGCAGAGAATAAGCTCTGTCTTTGGAATTTCCTGGTGAATATTTTCTGACTGAACCTATCTGGAGTAAAAGAATGTATAGGTCTTATTTTATGTAAGAAACATTGTTAGGTGTAAATGAGACTTTCAAGTTCTGACATTTGGTCAGAATGTAAGCATTCACAGTGAATGTAAACTACTGGTTTAAATATCAGACCTTCAATAGTGGTACCAAAATAGCCTGATAAAATATTCTAGTAACAGTTAAAATCATCTAAAGCAGGGATCAGCAAACTTTTCCTATAAAGGACTAGATAGTACGTAAATATTTGAGGCTTTGTGGGTTCTATAATCCCTCTTGTAAAGTTTCAACTCTGTTATTGTCGTGCAGAAACAGCCAAAGACTATCCATAAACAATGAGAGTGACTGTTCCAATAAAACTTTATTTAGACAAACAGGCAGGGGACCATAATTTGTCAATGAATTTCAGTTTAAAAATATACCGTATTTGGGAACTCTGCACTTTCTGGTCAATATCCTGTAAGACTAAAACTGCTTAAGAAAAAAGAACTCATTATAGTTTTTTGAAAAACATGTCATAGAAAATAAAAATGATTTAGAATCAAGTAATGATTAAAACCTGCATGGCATCTCTTGGTTTTCAATCACTGATAAATCCCCTGGATGAAAAAAATCATAAGCGTCAATTGTCATGTATGCTCTCATAGGGTATCAAACTGTTCTATTTTACAGGGATCTGTTTTAAAACTTACTCATTGATTAAAACAAACAAAAAATTGTGACATGCTATTACCACATTTGCTAACATAAATACCAAGAGCACCTTCTTTAATACTTGGGGGAATTGTTGAAGAAATTGATGATTTAAATGATTTCCTTGGTTGAACAGAAGATAATTCCCAAAAAATAATCCCTGAAGAATGTTTAATTATATTACTGTTCTCCTATCATTGATACTTGCTTTGAGTTTCCATCCTACTGTATTTATTTTTCTCCTATTCCATGAATGTACCACAAGAGTATGCTTTTGAATAAGTCCATTAAAATATTTATGGTTGTAAATCCATTGGTTGTAATATCTCTGTAACCCATCTGACAATTCTGTTAAAACCTTGACACAAATGTGTTGCAGCTGAATTTAGAAACGTAAATATAATTGTAATGTATATATCTACTTTTAACCTTTTTGTTGTGAACTATAACTCATGTAGAATACATAAAACAGAGATGTACAGTTTAACAAGTTATTATAAAGCAAATGTCACTGGAACTACCATGCAAGTCAAGAAATACAGCATTGCCAGCATCCCAGAAGGCTCTTATATGTCATCTCCAACTATAACTCCTTCCCTTACCTTAGGGCTAACCATAATTCTGATTTTTATAGTATCCATTTCCTTACTTTTCTTTATAATTTTATCACCAAGTATGCAGTTGTAAACAATATAGTTTAATTTTGCCTGCTTTTAAACTTTGTAAGTGGAATCATACAGTACAAATTATTCAGTATGTGACTAATATCTTAATACTGTATTTATTATAGTCATTCAGCAATAAAAATGGCCAAGGTAAACTGAAGTAATGGCATATTGAGCTGTGTTCAAGCCTGTCTTCAGTAAAACTGCTCCATGGGTGACCTGTCACATGTTTGGTGCCTCTTCCTGCCCTTTAACTGCATTTTGTAGTAACCTAGTGACAATCATAGTGGGTGGTGAAAGGCATAGCACTTGGCTTTGAAAACAGATTTCTCAATGGCTCTATGAGATCTTATATCACCCTGGAAATTTTATGGTGATAGGATTGACTGCATTATATTTTATAAAGATTAGTTATAAAGATTTTGGTAACATGAATTATTAATGTATACATATAGTAGAAACATATGTACACATACATGCATATGTTTCCTAGTGAAGAAACACTTTAATCACCTAAAACACTTGATTTTATAGAAAAAATACTTTGTTTTTCAGGTGAAACTTCCACCGATGATGGAAATCATAACTGCTGAACAGCTGATGGAATATTTAGGTTAGTGTTGAAAAGTGGATGATTTTATATCTCTTTCAAAATAAACGTTTCTAAAACTAATATATTACCAAATTACATCTTTCTGAAGTGCTGTTATATAATCTACTTTAAAATTATAATTTTGAAGCTCTTAATTAAAAATTTCTACCCGTATGTTATTGTTTTTGGATGTTAAACCTTTCTGAAGGCTTTTCTAACCAGCATTAAAATTCTGTAATATAAATGAGACTGAGTAACTTCCAGAAAAGAACAAGATACATAGTAATTCCTAATAAATTTTAGAATGGGAAATGGTACAGAAATTCTGACATTGCATGTAGAAAGTGTTAAAAAATATATTGAATAGACTTAAAGATCCAGGAGATAATTTAGAGCAGTGCTATCCAAAGTGTGATTCATGGACCTTTGCCAGTCTATGAAATATTAGTTACCAAGCCACAGTGAGATAGGGGCTTGTGCCAAAATGTAAAACATGTACATAAATACACTGTTTAGTTGATCTGAAATGTTTCTGAGCAAATTTTCTTGATGAAGGAAGCAGTGTATTAAGTTGCATACTTAGGCAAGTTTCTTATTTCAAAACAGACTGGTGATACACAGTTTGCAGACCAGCTGCTTTCAGTAGAACTTGTTTACAGAGCGGGTAGCTGTATATCACACTGAAGTCTTTTACAATTTAATGAATAAGAATTTATATGTTTATACTGTTAAATATGAAATCTTAATCCATATTCTTAGTTCTTTTAGTAATTAAATGTGTAAGGAAAATTTTGTAAAAAAATTTGTCAGCTGATTATTTTGACAACTAGCTAACTGGTTTTTTGTGAAATACAGGCTTAGTGAAGTAATGGAGATTGCAGCTTTTGGAAGACCCTTTTCTTTATGTAATTAATATAATTTAATCCTACTCACTGGTTAGGGAAACCTTATAGTTAAGGTTAGATTACTTTTGAATACCCAGATATCTGGAAATAGAATTTCTATTTATACCTCTTTTAGTGTAGCTTAGTGATTCTTAAACTTTGTGATTTAAGTTTTTATTTTATTTATTTTGAGAGAGAGAGTGAGAGAGAGAGAATCCCAAGCAGGTTCTGCACTGTCTGTGCAGAGCCTGACGCAAGGCTCGAACTCACAAACCATGAGATCATGACTCATGAGTTGGATGCTTAACTGACTGAGGCACCCAGGCACCCCTAAACTTTGTAATTTCTAAATTATATTTCATGGAGAAGGCTGAAATATGCTTGGTGCTTTGATGAATAGCCAGTATGACTTCCAAGGAGTGTGGAAAGGGGATGACATTCCAAAAGTAATTGGGGTCAGGTCATATACGGCTCTATAGGCTAATACAGCAACTTTTGATGTTTGCTGTGAGTGAGCTTGGAAACCATTAGAGGATTTTCAGCAGAGGACTGATGTGATCTGACTTTGAGTTCAACAAGAATTCTCCGGCTGTTATGTGAAAATAGAATTTAAGAGGGAAAGGACAGAAGGAGGGATATCAGGAAGCTATTATAACGAAAGATGCTATTAGAACTGGCAAAAGATGGTGGTGGCTTTAAACAAGGTAGTAGAAGTGGAAATTTGTAAAATGTGGTCAGATTCTGTGGTCAGTTGAATGTAGAGTGAGAGTGGTTCACCCCATAGTTTTTGGCTTGAAAAACTGGAAGGATTGAGTTAACATCAGCTGAAACAGGTAAAATATGGAAGGAACATGTTTAGGGAGGAATAACAGGATTTTGGTTTTAGGGTGTTTATTGACATCCAAGTGGAGATTTCAGTAAGGCAGTTGCATACATAAATCTAGAGTTCAGAGGAAAGGTCTAGATCTGTGCTATACAATAGAAATTTCTGTGATGATAGAAATGTTCCGTATCTCTGCTGTCTAGTTTTGGTAGCTACTAGCCACATATGGCTCTTGAGCTCTTAACTGCAGCATATGTGCCTGAGGACCTAAGTATTAAATTTAATTTTAATTAAAATTATGTAGCCATATGTTGCTACTGGCTAATGTATTAGGCAGTACAGATCTAGCCTGTAAATGTACATTTGGCAACAGACAACATACATAAATGGTAGGCTGCATGAAATCACAAGAATGAATGTAGAAAGAGAAGGGGAAAGGTTAATGGACTGAGTGTGGAACATGCCAGTGATGAGAGGTTGTGGAATAAGGAATAACAGGCATGTTCAAGCCAGGTAGAAGAAAAACAGGAGACTGATTTCCTAGAATCCAAATGAAGTTTCAGTGAAGAGTAAGATTAGCTGAACCAAATGCTGCTAATAGGTCAAGCTGGATGAAGACTAAAATTTGACTATTGATTGAGCCATAGAGGTCATTGGTAACCTTGACACGTGCATTGGAGGAAACCAGACAGGGTGGGTATAAGAGAAAATTGGAAACCTTGATACATAGCCAATAGCAATGTAACATAACATAGCTACTTTGAAAAACAGTTTGTCAGATGTGTGTAGAGAGAGATTATAATGACAGGTCATAGAATCTAAGTTGCTTAAAGAGGAAATGAAGGTATAAATATATTTGTCACTTCCTTAAAAAGTTAAACATAGAATTACCACATGACCCTATAATTTCACCCAGAAGAAGTAAAAACATATGCCCATACAAAAACCTGTACAAAAATGTTCATAACAGCATTTTTCAAATAACCAAAAAAATGGATACAACTCAAATGTCCATCAGCTGATGAGTAGATAAACAAAACGTAGGGGGCGCCTGGGAGGCTCAGTTGGTTGAGCATCTGACTTTTGACTTCAGCTGAGGTCGTGATCCTAGCATCATGGGATGGAGCCCTGTGTCAGGCTCCATGCTGAGTGTGGAGCCTGCTTGGTGTTCTCCCTCTCCTGCATGCACATGCACTCTCTCCCTCTGTCTCTCTCAAAAACAAATAAATAAACATCAAAAAAAATCTCTTTCCCTCTGCCCTGTTCATGCTCTCTCTTGTAAAAAAAAAAAACAAATAAAACACAAAACTTAAAGACATTATGCTAAAGTCAAAGAAGCCAAGTCATGAAAGACCACATACATGATTCTACTTATATGAAATGTCCACGATAAACAAATTTATAGAGACAGTAGATTAGTGGTTGCTTGGGATTGGTGGAGGAGTAAAAGGGCATATAGGGATTGACTGTTAATGGGTACAGAATTTCTTTAGGTGGGTACAAAAACGGTCTAAAATTAGATCATGATGATTTCCTTTAACATACTTGCAACGTATTGAGTTGTATACTTTAAATGGGTTTATTGTATGGTCTGTAAATTATATCTCAAAGCTATTTAAAAAAACAACTGGAGAAAAGGAAAAGAACTTAAAAAAAGTTTTTTTAATGTTTTTATTCATTTTTGAGAGACAGAGATACAGAGCGCTCATGGAGGAGGGACAGAGAGAGAGGGAGACACAGAATCTGAAAACAGGCTCCAAGCTCTGAGCTGTCAGCACAAAGTCCATCACAGGGCTTGAACCCACAAACTGTGAGATCATGACTCGAACCGAAGTCAGACACTTAACTGACTGAGCCACCCAGGTGCCCCAAGAGTACTTTTGACAAATAGAAGAATTAGACTTAGATAGTACAGATAGTTCATCTGTAGCAATAAGAGGTGAGACAGAATGTATTAAAAATAGGTGCAGGTAGGTGGGTAGATGTGGTTGTGGTAGCTTTTAGAAGGTCTCTTGAGTGCTTTTATTTTCTCAGTGAAATAGGGAACCAGGTCATGAGCTGTGAGTGAGGATGAAGAAGGAGTTGTTAAACATGAGAGGGAAGGTATAAAATAGTTGTCTGTAGAAGAGTAGCAGAGTGAACGGGAGATGTGGTATGATTCCTGAAGTTAGTGAAACCAGACCACGTGGTGGTACGATTTCTCCAGTCACATTTAGCTGCATTACTATAGACTTACATAGTGTGGGAGCAGGATTTAACCAGAGCTGGAGTTTTGCCAAGTGAATTTGTTGAAGAAAGAGTCTAGGGAATTGAAGATGTGTGTAGAGAGAGAGTATAATGATGGACCATAGAATTGAAGTTGCATAAAGAGGAAATAAAGATATAAATATGTTGAAGGCAAAAGTTGTGGAATTAGTGGATTTTAGGTCCTGATGGAGCCTGAGAATTTTTGGAACCTGATAATGACAAAGCTGTATGACCATGGGGAATGAGTTTCTGAGGTAAGGTAGAATATAAGATTTTTGTTGAAGAAGAGATCAAGGAACAGAAAGGCTAAGTTATTGGATGGATCAGCTCTATGAATATTGAAATTACCAAAAATTATGGCAGGATTTGTGTTGGAGAGAGATAATGAGCTAGGAATGAGAGGGATTAATCCGGAGTTGGTAGAGGACTGCAACCAGGTGGATGGATGATGGGTAGTATTTGATGACATGAGTTTTAAAATTGAGAAGTTTTAGGGAGAGAGAATGACAAGGACAATGACAGATATTTGCTCCACCTTCAGGCTCACTGGTAAAGAAGTATGAGAGAGAAGAACTGCCACTTTTAAGTTTATTTATTTTGAGAGAGAAACAGAGAATGCATGTGAATGGGGGAGGGGCAGAGAACGGGGAGAGAGAATCCCAGGCAGGCTTCTGTGCTTTCAGTGCAGAGCCTGATGCAGGGTCTCCGTACAGCAAACTGTGAGATCATGACTGAGCCAAAATCGAGAGTCAGATGCTTAACCAACTGAGCCATCCAGATGCCCTGAGAACTATCACTTGAGAAGGCTGCAGTGTTATCAAGCCAGAGCCAGATGTCATTTAGGTGAGAAGGTGAAGGAAACATTAAGAGAAGAAAATACCTAGAAGATTTTGCTAAGGAGAGTCCATGAGTTCCAGAGGACATTGAAATTCAAGATAAGAATTTAGGAATCGTCAGAATAAAAATGGTATTTAAAATCTGTGGAAATTGATGAGATCATTACTAGAAACAGCATAAAGAGAGAAGAGGGTCAGGATTGTTCCCCGAAGTTCCCCAGCGTACAGACA